TGTTGCAGCGCGCTAGATCAGATCCGCTACTTTGGCATTCTCTTGCCCTCACGTGGTTTGGCTGTTGTAATGCACCCAAAATGATTCTGCTTCCCCGGATCATCTATCTTCTCCAGGCTCTTCCAATCTGCTTGCCACCCCTTTTTTTTTTTTTTTTTTTTTTTTTTTTTTTTTTTTTTTTCAAAAAGATGCATGCTCTTTTGGGATTTTGTTTGGTCCCATTGGAAGCCCCGTCTTCAGTTTCAGCCTTTGCATTTACCCAAATGCATCAGGGGGGCTGGGTCTCCTGGATGTTCAAGCCTATTATAGAGTGGTCCACCTGACGAGGGTGGTAGATTGGCACTGCCATGTGGAGACTAAACTTTGGGTGGCGATGGAGCTGGAGGACTCTCGGGGCACCACCAAAAGCTGGACTTGGATCTTGCCGAAACTGCCCTGGGCCCTGATAGACCATCCTACGTTCGGTAGCACCCTGCTGTTGTCCAGGGAGGCTTTTCGGAATTCCTCCCTTTCTCCGTCGCCCTCCCCCCAAGCTCCCAGTTTTGGGCAACCCTGAATTTCCACCGGGTCTGGATGACCCCAAGTTTCAACGCCTGGCTGACTTGGGGTGCTTCCATTTCTTTGATTTCCTGGATCCAGATGGTAATCTTGCTCCCTCTGCTCTGTTGGCGGCCGCAGGTTCTCTGTTAAATTTTTGGAGCAGCCTACAACTCTGCAATTTTTTTTCGGCAATGTTCCCAATTCCCCGGGGATACGTTGCAGTCTTACAACACTGGAGAGTATGTCACAAGAAGGAACCTATCCGACATTCTTTCTATTCTCTACTATGCCTTGATCAGCCCATAGGATGACTTTACACCTACCTTTCTTTCTCACTGGGAAGCTGACCTGAGCCTCTGCTTCATGGCCATACAGAGGGAGAAAATTCTCCATTTTTTTGTGCAGGAGTAATCTATTGCTTCTAGAGTCCAGGAAACTGGCTAGAAGATCCTGACCAGGTGGTATAGGGTCCCTATGACCCTGTATTGATTATTTTTCCTTAGATTTCGGACCTGTGTTGGAGGTGCGGTGCTGACCGGGGTACAATAATGCATATCTTTTGGGCCTGCTCCCAAATCAAACCTTTCTGGCAGATGGTAACCAGCACCATTAAGGATCTGACGAGTGTTGATGTGACCCAGCGGCGTGTTTATTGCACCTTTATGGAACGCCCTATCAAAGTATAAGGCCTCCCTGGCGATTCAATTTGTTAAACGTGGCAAAAGCTTGCATTCCCTTGTGTTGTAGGGCCGTGCACCCACCTAAGAGATCCCTTTTTGGTTTACTAAAGGCAATGAGCTGTGAGACATGGAGGACCTCACAGCTTCTTTGCATGACCGGGGTGAAATTTTTTGAGATACCTGGAGACTGTGACAATACTTTTGTCTATACTGATTCTTATCTCCAGGCGCCCTCTGGGCTGGTGTGAGGGGGTCCTGTCCTGTCTAGTTTGGTTCTCCTTGGCCCCCGGATGGGACAGTCGACCAGCTTTATTCTGCTGCTCCTTCCTCCGTTGGTCTCTTCTGGATTTCATATTCTTCTTTTCTGCATTCCGGTTTCTTATCTGGATTTCTCCCGTCTCGGTGTTCCGTTCCTTTTTTTTTTTTTTTTTTTTTTTTAATTTTTTCTCAGTTTTTCTATTTTTCTTCCTATTCTGACTCCCCTGTGTATCTATCCATAGTCTCCTTCGCTGGTTTCCTGATCTGCGTGGTGTTCTATATTGGAGTTGTTTTGTCTGCTACCTGAGATCTCTCTGTGGGACCTCTTTTCCCATTTTCTGAGATTTCGGGATGCCCTGGTTTCCCATATGACCCATACGGCTGGTTGCTCGTGATTAGACCTTTGTCTTCTTAGCCACTCCGGGGCCGTACTGTATCCACGTAACTGTTTACTTTATTGTGATTTATGTTATTGCCTATTTTGGTTTACACCATACTGCTGCTAGTTTTACTTGTCTTTGTTATGCTTGACTCACTTTATTGCCTTAAGTTTTGTAACTTCTGTGTACCTTTTTTTTATATTGTATGATTTTTGGCTACCTAACCAGAACATTTTATAAATGGAATTCTAAAAAAAACTATATTGCAAGGGCCTGCCTGCATACAAATTGAATGTTTAGGTTTGACCTCCATATGTTTTTTTTCTAATTGAAAAATTGTGCAATGCATGTCCAGCCTTATCCAAATATGAATAAGGATAAATTGCACACAGATGTTTACATTTCACCACTAACCACCATTACAGGAACTGTAGCTAGCAGTGGAAAATATTTTGTCCTCTCCTTTTGCAGTTCAGAAGATGCTAATAAGACTTTTTTTTTTTTTTTTTTTTTTTTTTTCTTTCTGTGCAGAGTTTACTATACAATAACCTACCCTCACCTGACTCCAGGGTGTCCTGCAGGGGGCAGAGGATGATGAGGTTCATGGCTGGAACGGGTGCAGACCTGGATGACCCTGCCCTGGTCAATGTTAATCCATTCACCCCTGAAACCTATCGCCAAATGCAGCTCAACGCCAATGGCAAGAGGAAGGCAGAAACCAGCAGGTGAGTTAAACTGCTTGAATATGTATATATATATGTGTGTGTTTGTGTGTGTATATATGTGTGTGTGTGTGTGTGTATATATGTGTGTGTGTGTGTGTGTGTGTGTGTGTGTGTGTATATTCTTCTTCTTCTTTTTTTTTTTTTTTTTTTTTTTTTTTTTTTTACTAAATCAAAGATGCAAAGCCAAAAAAACAGGTAGAGGTAGAGCAGGGTAAAACTGCCAAATGTTTGTTTTACTTTTTTGCCATGTCTTACTAGGAAGATTTTTACTTCCTGTTCTGTAGAATGCATGGGAAGGGTGAGTTTCTTTTAAGTGAGGGATATAACCTTAGACAAGGGGGATATGATCAACATGTATAAATACATCAGTGGTTCATATAGTGAACTCAGTGTAGAGCTATTCACCCTGAGGTAATCAGCGGACAAGGGGGCACTCTTTACGTCTGGAGGAAAAGAGATTTAATCTTTAAACATGAAAAGGTCTCTTCAGTGAGAGCTGTGAAAATGTGGAATAGACTCCCTCAAGAGTTGGTTCTGGCCAGCTCAGTGGATTGCTTTAAAAAAGGCCTGGATTCTTTCTTCGATATCCAGAATATAACTGGATACTAACATTTATAGGTAAAATTGGTCCAGGGAATATCCGATTGCCTCTCCGGGGATCAGGAAGGAATTGTTTCCCTGCAGGAGCAAATTGGATCATGCTTTGCTGGGTTTTTTTTTTTTTGCCTTCCTCTGGATCAACTGTGGGTATAGCATTATAACTTTTTTTTTTTTTTTTTTTTTGGGTAACTGGATGAACATTTGTCTTTTTTTTCAGCCAGACTAACTATGTAACTGTCACAGGAGCAAGTGTCCATATCGGAAGAGTTCCACTCCACAACTTCTGTAGTGGAAACTTAAAATGTTGGGTTTACCTTCATTATTCCTTGTGACAGTGGTCACGTAGAAACACATTGGTTCTAACCCCTTGCCACACTTTCCTTGAAAGTGCTAGTTGCCTTTTTTTTTTTTTTTTTTTTTTTTTTTTTAAAGCTCCCAGTAAAGATGGCATGTAGAACATGGTTTTATAGTAGTGTCCTCTGCCCCCACATCACTTCAGATTACCCCCCCATAGTGTCCTCTACCCTCTTCACATCCACCCCACCCCCACCAACACATACACTGTAGTGGTCTCTATCCCCCCTTCACATCATCCACCCCCCCCCCTTCCACACACAGTGATGGCACTCTCCTATCTTGACAGCCTTGGTACAGTAGAGCAAGGAGGCAGTATAGTGCTGGATAGAAGTTGGGGTCTGCCAGAGTTGTCTTTTCATAAGCTGGTGATTGCTAACTTTGCTAAGCGGTCCTAGCAACCAAAGTGGCACATGGGATCTCAGGTGAGGCTGTATAAAGGGGTGGACTGAAACCTTGTGGCTCTAAGGGGATGGGGGAGGAAGGCAAATGCATCAAATGGACCCTTTTGTTTGGGGGCAGATTTGTTGGCTAATGAATTTAGTGCTTGAAGACTTTCCTTCGACAAATTCTCTCATTGCAGGTCTTAACAGAGAGCAGATAGCTTTAGAACACCCAGCATGTGTCAATGATTGAAGGTTCTAACTGGATGACTAATTGGTGAAGAATCTCTGAAAATGGCCCTACAGCCCAATAAGTAGTACTAAAAGTGGGAGCAAATGCACCCACACCTGCTCCCAGTCCAGTCCACCCTGGCCATTTTTTCCCACATAGTATTTATAGACAAAGGGTAACGTGTTGTAAAGGGCAGCTCAAAGTTCCGAATAACATTCACTTCTATTTTTGCCATGACTAAACTATTGGATTGAAAATATTAAAGAACATCCCCTTTTATTTAGTAGTGTGTAGTTGAGTACTAGCTTTGTGTATAAACTGGCATCTCACCTCCAACTGCTTTAGCTTTATCATAAAAGATGTAAGCTAAAGAGCTTAGCCATTCCAAAAGGGTGTCCATATTCCTTTCTGCCTCTAGCTGCATGATTTCTCAATGCAACAGTCTTGGGTCAAAGACCTGATATGGTTCCAATCTGTGGCTACCTAGATGTTAACCAGATTCTTCCTCCGATAGAATATTTTACTAGACTTGCATGACCCTCAAACATGCCTGTGATAGTTAGACACAAAGTTCCATCAAAACCAGAACAGGTGTGAATGTTATAAATCTGTGGCATGTCTGCTGTTTGTGTTAATGCCATCTATTTAAAGTGTTTTTTTTTTTTTCCTCTAGCAATGATCCACCACCAAAACACAGGGATAGGGAGATTTCAGCATCTGTTCCTTCTCAGGTGGGTACTTGTCACCAGCAGTTACTGGTTGATGATAGTGATGTATTTTATGCCAACACTTATCACAAGTACAGATAACCTGTTTAATTTTAGAGGCTTGTGTTACGTGAAACTAACATGGTGTCCAGGTACAAAAAAGAGTTTTTGGAGATTGAGAAGATTGGATCGGGAGAGTTTGGAGCAGTCTTCAAGTGTGTAAAGAGGTTGGATGGCTGTGTCTATGCCATAAAGCGCTCTAAAAAGCCACTAGCTGGCTCCACTGATGAGTAAGTATTGACAACCTTTTTTGAAGCAACCTTGTTATGTATAGCACTGATGTGTAACTGCCTGTGTTTAGCCTTTCTCGAACAGTTTAACAGACCAAGCCCAATGTGGTGCTGTTATGGGTGGTTGCCAAACGGGATCTCTTGGGTGTAGTTTGAATATTAGGCTGTGCGCAGGCCTCAATTGCTCCCCCATTGGGAGAAGTGTTCCTTGACTGCATAACTTGCCACTATTTGGACAATGGCTGTGGATACTTGACCATCATGCATAAACTTATGTGGACACCTTCCCAAATTGCGCTCCAGTGAAGGGTGCTGTTAGTGCTACATAACATACAAAGATGACTTTCAGCTTTGTGGCAGTTTGGGGAAAGCCCTTTTCTGTTCTAGCATCACTGTGCATGATAAATTAGGCCGATGCTTAGACTTTTTGCAGGAACATAACTTTCCTCTGCTGCCTACAGCAAACTGTTGTGGCTGTAAAGCAAATGAGCCTCATTAATTCAAGGTGTTATGACTGTTTGCACCCCCTCTAGCTAGTAGTCAGGTTTCTGGATCTCTGCTGGCAAAGGAATGAAAGGTAGAATCTGTGCTACACCGCATCCCTTGATTAAACCTTTAAAATTGGCATATGTGATAACTGGACACCTTTTTATCTAAAATGCTGTTATAGGATGTATGGAGGTTGCATTCAATGCATGCCCATTGAAAATTGATTCAATTAATTGGGACCTTGAGGCTCAGTGAAACTAGGCAAAAAGATGAGGGATTAATCTCAGCAGATGGGAACACGTTTGTCTAGCTCTTCCCCACTCTATCATAAGAACTTTTTTAAATGTGCTTTAAGCACGTGTCCTGGATCTTTCTACAAACATCAAAGGTGAGTTTTTTTGCTACTCCTGAGAGGACCAATTGCACTGGAAAATGCAGAATCCAAGACAGTCCTACATTTCCCACATGATCAATAGGTATTTTTTGCATCTATATTAAGTTATAATATCCTTTCAATGGTATTATTAGGCCAAAAAAAGTGAGCTATTGGGGTTTAAGTACACTTATCTAAATATGTTTCTGGCCCTACAGGCAGCTGGCAATGCGGGAGGTCTATGCCCATGCAGTGTTGGGTCACCACCCTCATGTTGTTCGCTATTACTCTGCCTGGGCCGAGGATGACCACATGATCATCCAAAATGAGTACTGCAATGGTAAGTTACTGTTTTGGTACACGAATACTGGAATTCCTGCCTTGATTCAAAATTCCCTTGTGGTGTTTCTTTGCTGCATGTATGTTTTAGGCAAGTTATGACAATACATCAAAGGCTTCATGACTGAGAAAGGTGTAGATTACACTTGAGCTTCTGGGTAAGTCTTAATGTGAGGAATACAACCTGCTGTGCAAAATAGGATGCATGTACTTCATGCACTGGTTTCTTGACAGTTTGTGGTCTCCTTGGCATTGATGCCGAGAGCTGCTTTACTCCAGGATCACCTCAAGTAATGAGATCTTACTTTTTCATGGAGGTCTAACAGCATAACCGAACCCACTGATGGCTGACAGACTGCAGTGCCATTTACAAGAAACGAGTTTCTACCCAGTTTGGGATTTCAACTCCCTTCTGTTTCCTGTTCTGTCTCTCACCATGTAGACTAGAACTGAAGCTAAATCTTCTAACGGGATGCAGATGGCAATAAAATTTGATAAAAATTCTAAAAGGTTCTTCAGCCGTGCCTTTTTGGGCTTGAGTTTTTACAGGTTCCTCTACCGAAATTGCTTAAAAAAGCTGTTAGAATTTCCTTTATCATGATCATGAGGCTCAGTATGGCATTGGGCATTATCTAGAGCAGTTCGCATTTAAATACAGCCTGAATAGGATTGCCCACTCCTCCTCCCTGACATGCACCCATCAAGGCATGTTGACCTTGCAACTCCTCCCAAGAGTCAGCCTATTGTTTGCCTCAGGGCTACAGGTTTTTGAGTACTGAAACTGTCACCAATCCTCAAAATGTGCTTGAACTGAAGAGCTTTCAGAGGAGGACAACAAAATAAAAAAGTTGGCTGTAGGGCCCCAGTTATAAGAAACCTACAATAACTAAACTTCTCCCTGGAGCGGACTGCAATGTACAAATCTTTGAATGGGAACTGGATGGAGAGGGGTCTCTTTCCTTTTCAACTATGCAACCAGGTGAAAACTGAGGCAAAGTCTCAAACTAAAGCAGCCACCACAAATGAGTGGTAAGCTACAATGTTGTTTTCTCCAGTCCTCTTCCAGGCACACCTGAGAAATGACTAGTCCCACCTGACAAAACACAAAAAAATTAACAGTTTAAATTCCCTGCACTTTCCTCCCCTCAGTTTTTGATTTTCCCTGCAGCGTAACTTTTTTCTTCTGACCAAAGGCCTGGGGCTGCAAGGTCCCCCCTGGAGGGTGTACAGCTGAGCCAGAGGGGGCAGGAGGCTGTACACCGGTTTAGCTTACCCACTCCAGGGGGTCCCATTGCAGTAGAAATTCCCAGGCATTGGGGAGGAGTGCCTGGTGTTCCTGGGACGAGTGCCCTTCCTCCCTCTTCCGGTGCAGCGGGGAGGTCTGACCAGGAGAAGATCGGGCTGCAAGGTGGCTCACAGCTATGGGGATTGTTGGCCAGCATTTGTCGAGTGGTGTGCCCCTGTAGGGTGACGGGGAGGCTGCGATGGAGTCCGCGGCTAGTCTGGCTGAAGTCCAGTGGGCAGAAGGCAGGGAGGGCTGTGGGCGCAGGACCAGAAGTAGGAGTGGGGCTGTGTTCCAAGCCTTTCTCCCATCGCACTTCTGGTGAGGGTGGGACTTCTGCCCTAAAGATGGTGATGCCGGATGGTGTTCTCTCTTCCTTTATGAGGCCGGTGAGGAGCCTCCAGGATTTACCCCTGGAAAAGGGCCCGGTGAAGGCAATGCAGTCCTAATGAGCCCTGGTAAGGATGAAAGAGAAGGCAGTGGCTGCAGCCAGTGAAAAGGCCATGGGCGGCGAGTGACTCCACTGGTGGGGGAAAGGGGAGGTAGGTCCTTACCCACTTTCCTACAGGTGTGCCTGGGGGGCCATTTAAATGGGCCCCTTGTTTTTCTTTCCCTAGAGCTGTGTGGAAGTGCCCAAGAGCTCCCACAAGACACTGAAGGATGAAGCCCACCCTGCTCCAGACGGTGTGGTTATTGTAATAAAGTTCTGAAGACCATGCCAGACCCTTTTTTTTTTTTTTTTTACAAATGTATCCACAAGTTATCAGGGAAAGCAACCTCGGCGGTTATGAATGATGATTTTTTTTTTTTTTTTTTGTCCGTGCAAACAGATGTTGGCCACCTTGCAATCCTTGAAGACGGCCCTGACATCTAGGAAGGAGGGTAGGAAAGGAGGTGGATACTCTGTCCCCTAGGGAGGCCCCGTCTTCTTGAATGGGGAGGATTTGGGTCCCTCATCCTTGCAGGCCAGAGGAACACCTAGAGGAGGTAGAGGTTTCTGACTAAAGCTCTCTGGATGCGGTGGAAGAATTGTAAGGTGATAGCCAGGCTAGTGATGAATGTAGACCAGGTACACCTTTTTGGATGATATGGAGGGACTCCTAAGGGCTATTTGCACCTCAGAGGATATCCTGGAATCACCTACAAAAGTCTCAGCTCAGGATAAGATGTATAGGGGGTTGGTGTAGCTGAAAATTTGAGTACTACCTGTGACGATCGTGGCGTCAGACCCCTGACATTCTCACCAAACTCGTGACCGAAGGACTAGCCAATCTAAAAATGCAAAGTCTCGTGCGTAACAATACCACGCCCAGCTGCACCCTGCACACCGATTTTTCTAGCTAATTGGACCACAATTGATGTACCGGCAGCCTGGGAGCAATTGTTACTGGGTCAGGTTAATTACGCGATTAACCCTTCACACTGCCGCCACCTCCTTTTTGTACAGAGGAAACTTGGCAATATCAGCAATACACTAGGATGATTAGATAATCGTCTGTTTACCACTATCACCGCAGACAGGTTATACAGAGGGTTAAACACTCATAGTAGCGCTCTTCAGCAGCAGGAATCCTTAAGTTGCATTAAGGAGCTACAGAAACAGTTCAACACCTTCAGAAATTAAGATTTATTACTAAAAGGTCAAAAGGGTTCCATAAAAATATTTACAGGAGAGAGAGAGGTACACAGATAACAGTTAAATGCAGGAAGATCTTTTCTTCTCACACACACACACACAAAGCATAACAGCCTTTGTCTACCAAAATCAGCTGGTGTCTTCTTACAACAGAAAGCCAATTGCCTTTTTTGTGAAGAGGGTTGTATAGGCAGGGAGCTCAGGCTTCTTGAACTCAGCAACATACACCGATCACATTCCTGAGGGAGGGAGGAAATCGGAGGAGGGAGACTAATTTGTTTTGGAGAGATACCAAAATGCAGAGGTTTGGAGCAAAATGGAGAACCATGCCCATCTGTGTGCATGATTGCTACACTACCTATACTTCTCAAAGACCTGGAAAAGTTAATACCCCTTTGGGGAAGAGAAATTCTTCAAGAATCTCAAATTGGACGCAGCGCTGTCTAAAAAGTCAGACCTGTCTTTTTGAGGGTAACATCAAGGATCAGATGGACCATAGGTCTAAGACAGTTGTGTAGGGCCTGGGAGGCTAATGCAGCTACTATGGCCCCAGCCTTGGTATCTGCTTGCATCGCTAGGAATATTTATGCCTGGATGCAGTTATTGCACATCTCTCCGGGTTCCAAGAAAAAGGGGGGAAACCCAGATGAAGAGGAGTTAGAATCCCTGGAAGTAGTCAGTAAGGCAGTCACCTAATGGCAGATGCTGCAGTAGAGATGTTCAAGACATTGGTTAAGATGGCAGCTCTTATCAACTCTGCCCGGAGGACGGTGTAGGTCAAGGTCTAGAACAGCGATCACACATCAATAGCCCGACTCTGCGGTCTGCCCTTTTTGAGGGCTCCCTGCTGTTTGGCTCAGGGTTGGACCAGGTGTGATCAAGGTTGCTGAGAAGGGAAAGCTTTTCCCCATCAAGACCAATAAGGGTAAGAAGTTTTTCTTTCAAGTCCCCCTTAATCAGAGCCAACAAAAACTTATGAAGGACCCTCCCAAGAAGTGGGCCAGTGAGGGGAGACAAAGGGAGCTTCCTTTATTCTGATTCCAAACCCAGTTGATAAAGGAGTGGTATCATTTGGAGTTATCTTCATCCCCCCCCCCCCTCAGGCCTTTGTAGCCCCCCCCTCCCCTAAACAGGGTAAAGGCTGAGGCTCTCTTGGGAAGGATCAGCGATCTAGCATATTAGGAGGCAATTGCCCTGGTGCCGACGGACCAACTTTTCTGCGGATATATCTTTGGGGTACGGAAGCCTTCAGGGAAATTTCGATTCATCATAAACCTAAAAAATTGAACAGGTACCTGCAGTACAAAAAGTTCCATATTGAGTGTTTACAGTGTATGCAAACTTCTACTCAAAGGAATGTTTATGGCCACGGTGGACCTCAGGGATGCCTACCTCCACGTTCTCATTGCCCTAGAATACCAAGCCTTCTTGAGGTTTGCTATATTCCTGGAGAAGAGGGTCAGTTATTGGCAGTTCTGAGCCCTTCCATTCAGGCTGGCGGCCAGTCCAAGAATCTTACCAAAGTCCTGGCCGAGGTAGTGGCATAGCTAGATCTCCAGGATTTCCATTACCTAGACGAACGGTTGATCTACGGGTTCTCACAGAAACAAGTCCTGAGAGATCTGGAGAAAGTTCCTGAAGTACGTAGTAGACTCCAGGGTCCAGAGGCTCTTACCCAAAGAAAAGATTGACAAGGTAATGGGGGGGGCTGCTTCTGGTTAACAGCTCCAGATTGGTCCCAGAGGCACATTATGAGAGTCATAGGGATCATGACAGCCTGTATACTGGCTGTGGAGTGGGCACAGCTACATTACAGGGAGCTTCAGTTCTTCCTTCTATCCTCGTGGGACAGGAAGACTGGTTCGCTGGACAAGAGGGTGCCACTCCCGCAGAATATCACTCACTAAGATGATGGATCAAGCCACTGAATCTGGGGGGAGGAAGACCGTGGGTGTAGTGTGGGTAACCTATGGACGCAAGCCAGTGGGGCTGGGGAGCTTACCTAGAGGACCGATTGGTTCAGGGCCCACGGGAGCCACACCTAAGGGGGACCTCTAGTTACAGGGAGTTGTTGGCAGTAGGTCAGGCCTTGAAGTTCTTTGAAGACAGGATAGGGGGAAAAGTCCAAATTCTGTCGGGTAATAAGTAAACAGTAGCATACTTGAATCATTTGGGGGGGGGGGGGGTATACACCAGGTCTAGAAACTCCTGGACCTAGCTCGGAGCAGAGCCCTTTCGGTGTCGGTGGTCCACATAAAGGTCTCGGCCAACACGAAAGCAGATTTTCTCAACCAACAGTTAATCCACCAGGGAGAGTTGGAACTCCATCCCAAGGTCTGTTTGCAGTGTTTTTTTGGCAACCCAGATATAGACCTTTGCCTACAGGAAAGTGAAGCGTTATTTCTCCATGTGAATAGGTAGGCCCTGCAATGATTATATAACACAAATGAAAATAAAGTGAAATGACAATCGCCTCAAACAAATAGTCCTGAACAAAATATGATCAATAGTAAACTTAATATATTAGAGACCGTCCCATAAAGGTGTAGTGACTTAGACCAAAACTAATATGCTCTTTCACCACGTACAGGCAATCTGTGAATTTCTCACCAGAAAAAATTGACCCTGGTTAAGTATTGACCAGATATAGATGACTGCCCCCAGTTGGGTGATCACAAGACTCTGGGTGCACAGATGGTGGATGGATTCACAATCTCAGGCTCTCCTCAAGATACAGGTAATGCTCCAAGCAGCTCAAACAGACCAAATGCTTGGAGCATCACCTTTTTATCTTGAGGAGAGCCTGGGATTGCGAATCCAACCACTATCTGTGCAACCAGTCTTGTGATCACCCAACTGGGGGCAGTCTTCTCTGAACCCCTGGATCCATATCTCTTAGGGGACCAGGAGGTCTGATCCAGGAGAGCCTGTTGCTGGTCATCAATACTTGTGATAACAAAGCGATATTTGACCACCTTAACCGGGGTAAAGTTTTTTCTGCTTAGGTGAGAAATTTACTTGTCTGCACGTGGTCTATGGGCCTACACCTTTATGGGACTGTCACTATAATAAATTCACTATTCATATTTTGTTCTGGACTATTTGTTTGATATTGCTATTTCACTTTATTTTTCATTTGTCATATAATCATTGCTGTGCCTACCTATTCACATATTCATTTAAGTGCATTTCACTTAGGGACAGCTGTTAATTTTTGCTGGCTTAGAGCAGGCAACATCCATATTTAAATGATTCACTTATTTAGGCACCACAATATTTCTTTTTCCAATAGTTTTCTCCATGGCCTAGAAAGAAGGATGTGAGGGTCTGGATGCATTAGAGCAGGAATGGGACTTCAGGCTGGCATATGCATTCCCCCCCTCTGGCATTGATTCCGTGAGTGTTACAGAAGTTGAGCTGGTCAAGCTGCAGATTGATCCTGCTAGGTCTGTGGTGGCAGAGAAGTGCCTGGTTCGCCACCTTGAAGAGGTGGTCCATGGCTCCCCCGCAGCATCTCCCAATCAGGAAGGATCTTCTCATGCAGGGGCCAACACTGCATCCCGATCCGGAGTTTTTTCGACTAATGGCCTGGCTCTTGAAAGGAAGATCCTTTAGAAGGGGGTGTTTTGAGAAGGTGATACTCTTCTCAGTAGGAAGCAGGTGACTAGAAAGATACGCCAAGGTGTGGGGTGTGTTTGCTAGTTGGTGTTGAAAAAGGGGTTTCTCTTCCCCTGGTCCCTGTGATCTTAGACTTTCTCCAGGTAGGAGAGGATAAAGGAATAGTGGTAAACACCCTAAAGGAGCAAGTGGCGTCCTTTTCAGTCTATTTAAACCAGAGACTTGGTTCCTAGTTGAGAGGTTAATGGGGGCCAGGGAAAGGGTGACCCTTATTAAGAGTCATTTTTCTGGCTTGGGATCTAACCCTGGTAGGTGCTTACCAAGCCACCATTTGTGCCAGTGGCACAGATTTCAGTTAGGATATCTTTTAAGTTAGCCTTCCTGTTGGCTATCACAACGGCAAGGGGGATAGGCAACCTCCAGAGCCTGTTGATCAAGGAACCCTTTCTGGTAGTATTGGAGAACACAGTAGTGCTTAGACAGGATCTTCTTTATTTGCCAAAGGTGGCACCTCTATTCCACAGGACACAAGAGATGTACTACTATCTGTCAAAACCCTAAGAATGAAAGGGAAAAGTGTGTTTTTTTTTTTTTTTTTTTTTTTTTTTTTTTTGTTTTTTTTTTTTAGTTGGCAGGTGGTGTTTGCTGACACATTTAGCAACTTCAGGAAGTAGTCACCTTTTTGATTTTTGCTTAGCGGGCTGAGGAAGGGTAATTAAGCATCTAAACAGACAATAGCTAGATGGATCAGACACGCCATCTCCTTTGCTTATGCAAATCAGGGGTTTTAGTTCCTTTACATCTGAGGGCTCACTCTACTAGACTGCTGCCGACCTCTCCGGCAGAGGGCCAGAGCATTGATTGAACAGATCTGCCAAGCAGCCACATGGACAAGCCAGGACACCTTCATGAGACATTAGAGTAGAGCTGTTGTCACCACAGGACCTGTCATTTGGTGGGAAGGTATTACAGGCAGTAGTCCTTTCCTAAGGTATGCCTGAGTTCCTTGCTAATCTTCTCAGGTGTGCTGTCCTGGAAGATGATTGGAGAAAGGTACCAGTTACACTTACTGGTAGCGGTGTTTCTGGGAAATCTTCCTGGATGGCAGGCCTACTTCCCACCTGTATCTGGTGTTGATTAAATTGAGGTAGAATACCTTTTGTGCATCAGGGAGCGATAATCCTCTTTGCATAACATAAGGAAAGGGCAAGGAATTTAAACTGTCAATTTTTTTAAATATTTTTTGGTTAGGTGGAGCTAGTAGTCTCTCAGGTATGCCATCCTGAAAGATTTCACAGAAAGTTACCGGTATGAGTAACTGGTACTTTTTTGCTTTTCGGTTAATACTGCATTAATTTGCATATAAATATCGAACTATGAAATTACTGTTTTATATTGGAAAATGTTTATTTGCAATGATGCCATGCTAGTATTAATGAAGTGTTTGCTGTCAGGTGGAAGTCTGCAGGACCAAATCATGGAGAACATGAAGTCTGGCCAGCTGGTGATGGAGCAGGAGCTGAAGGAGATTCTTCTACAAGTGTCCATGGGGTTGAAATACATCCACAGCTCTGGCCTGGTGCACATGGACATCAAGCCAAGTTGGTATCAAGCAGCTACTGTAAAAATTCTGTAGATATCCAATTAAAGCTACCAAGAGCATAAAGCTGTCAATGTTCAGCTATACTTATGTGCCTTACATTGCATACTTTTTAGGAACTTGTTGGGTTAGCAATATGGCTTGCCCAAAAAAATCTGGCTATTCTGCCACCCAAGCACGTGTAGGATGTTATACTCTGAATTAGGCAAATTTATTACCATTATACACAGTATGGCAAGCTTTCCCGGCCAGTTCAGTAGTAATGTTTGCTCTCCTGAAGCTGCTCTTCTCAGAAGTGTTGCCATTAGGCTTTCATAGAGGACATCTCTAAGTGGTCAGTAAAATGGGCAATTGAGTGAATTGCTCAGTAAGGTTGGGCATTGTGTAAAGTAACCCATAATATCAAATTGTTCACTGTTCTGACATTAGTCCAAAAGAATGGCTACTCACATTTTAGTTTATTGAAGTCTTCAAAGACACGCACCTACCCTTATCTATTAGTATTCTTTCAGGCAATATCTTCATCTGTCGGAAGATGACAGAGGCAGAACAGGAAGACAGTGATGGAGAAGATGACCTTTCCTCTGCCAGTGTCCTGTATAAAATAGGTGAGACTACTTTGGTAGCATCGACAAGGATCTTATAATGGTTATGTAACGTGGTCGGTCACAGGAGTTTCCACAAAACAGGGGAGTCATTGTAAACCCACAGTAAGTCTGATTGAGGGGTACCTACAAACTGGTACTTTTGTGAAATGGCATATCTGCATATAGTATTAGAAAACCTTTATTTCTATGAGTTATAAATGTCACTTTCCTATCTACAAAGCAGAGCTGAGTCTGGGCTAGGCCATTCAGATGACTGGCCTACAGAACAGTTTGCAAAAACTGAATTTTTTGTTTTTCCCAGGTGACCTTGGTCACGTGACATCCTTCACCAACCCACAAGTTGAAGAAGGTGACAGCAGATTCCTGGCCAATGAGATTCTACAGGAGGTAAATTTGAATTTGTGAAAAGACTAAAGCTGGCTACAAATGTGCATTGCAGCAAAACATTTAACATTAAATGTCACTCAGTTTATGGCCACACACAGATGGGAGAGGAATGACTGGGTTTTGCTGTGTTGGCAGCCCATTCAAAATCAATAGTTTAGTCTGGCCTAATGCAATGAACATTGATGTGTGAAATACCACATGTTAATGTGCATACAGTAACGCATCACAACACACTGGAGAGTGGGGAAATATTCAGGACAACTGGTAGTGTATGTGGCTGCCTGAGGTTTATGGCTGCATAAGCATATACAAGACTGTTCTGGAATGGACCTTCCACCTGTTAAGCAAGAATCATTGTATATGGCAGGCGCACTGCTTGATGGCCTGGATAAGATCTGTTCAACACCCACCTTAGGTTCACTCATAACACAAGCAGGTAGGAATCCAGTAGCAATTATATAAAAATGCTGCTTAAAAATGAGAGCCTATCATAAAAATCTCATTGAAGCTGCCAAATTAATTTCACAATGTAAAAAATACTTGTTTTAGGTTGGCAATGGTCGAATGGTGCTCTTGCTTTGTTACCTAGTTTAATGCTCCTTAAGGGGGACAAGTGGCTGTGCCAACATACATTGGCAAGCTTGGCCAATGTCACAGCCTGGAAAACCAGCCCTGTGAAATATGCAACCATTGCTGACATCGATATAGACAGGAAGTGGCTGAAAGGCAAAAGATCCGCAGCACTGATTCAAAAATGTTAGCTGAAATGATGCAAAACCTTCTCCACAAACGTGTGGTGGACCAGGGTCCTTTCACACATGTCTCCTTGTAGAGCCACATCCAGGGAAGTACCAGGCTTTGCCACCCTCTGACTGGGGAAGTCCAATAACTCCAAAGAAGAGCGCACCAGCCTAGTTTATTATCCCCTGCTTGTTTTATTTCCATAAAAAGGTAAAAACAAAAATTATGAATGTGTGCAGCATATCAAGCCACCATGAAATGGTGGATAGTAGGACCCAAAGTGATCTAACACCAGGATGATGCCGTCCAGGAGCCAGAGGGATTTCCCTCAAAGCGTGGGCTGCTTCTGGATCTCAGATGGCATCAACCTGGTGTTAGGTCACTTTGTGTCCTACTATCCACTGTGCCACAAAATGGTGACTTGATATGGTGTGTCATTCATAATTTGTAAGTATGGTTTTTCTCCAGTGATCTTCCAGGACAGCACACCTGACATGACTAGCTCCACCTGACAGGAAACAATCAAAAAAGCAGTTTAAATTCCCCTCCCTCCTTCCTTAGTTTTTGATTGTGTTTCCCTGTGCAGTAAAATGTTTGTGTCAGAGAAAAAACAAAAACAAAGCTGGGGGTGGGTCATGCTGTGGTAGCCGAGGTGCTCGCCCACACCAGGGGTTTCCTAAGTCCAAGGCTTCTGGGCACAGGGGAAAAATCAAACCTGTCCCTTGAGGACTAGGGTAATAGATCAGATGGACAGGAGGTTGGAGACGCTGTTGCGTAGAGCCTGAGATGCCAAGGCAGTGGCTATGGCCCCGGCATTGGCATCCACCTGCATAGATAGGAATGCAGATGCTTGGATGCATAATGTAATAGACCACGTCTCTCTGGGTACTGAGAAAAAGGGGGAAGCACAACAAAAAGTTTAGTCTTTGGAAGTGGTTGGTGAGGCGGTTGCTTACTTGGCGGATGCTGTGTTTGAGATAGAACATGAGTCAAGACAGCAACCCTTCGCAATTCAGCTAGGAGCGAGATTTGAGTTAAAGCTTGGGAAGGGGACCAGATTGTTAGATCCCAGCTGTGTGGCCTGCTCTTTGAGGGCACCTTATTGTTTGGATCAGGTTTTGTCTAGGTCATCTGAGAAGGGGAAATGGTTTAAAGTCAAGACTAAAGATAGGGGGACATTTTTTGGGACCCCCTCGATTAGAGCCAACAGAGACTTAGGAATGGGTTAACAAGGGCAAGCAGAAAGGGAGTCTCCCTTTCTCTGGCCCAAAACACGCCAGTAAGGATCCCAAATGACATGAATCTCAGGGTGGATGGAAGGTTATCCAGATTCCTCTTGCAGTGGGAGAAGATTTTGGGGAGTCCATACATCCTGCAGTTTTTAAGGGAGGGGTATTGATGGGAATTTCTCATCCACCCCCCTCAGTCTTTTAACGCATCTTCCTAGGGATTAGCAGAGGGCGGAGGGTCTCCTGGGAGGGGTAAGAGAGCTAGCGGAACAGAAGGGGATTGACCCAGTCCCAGCAGATCAGCTTTTTCGGGGGTTTTATTCCCACATTTTTGTGGATCTGAAACTCTGGGGAAAATTTCAGATTGATCATAAAACCTATGAAGGTTAAGTAGGTTCCTGCAGTACAAAAAGTTCAGTATGGAAAGTATCTACAGTGTACGGAAACATCTGCAAGGGGTCCTTATGGCCACTGTGGACTTTAGGGATGCCTACCTCCACGTTCCCATCGGTCTGGAACGCCAAGCTGCCTTGTGTTTCGCCATCCTCGCCAAACAAGTAATCAAGCATTGCCAGTTTTGAGCCCTTTTTGGGCTGGCAGTCAGTTCGAGAATATTTACCAAAGTCCTGGCAGACTGGGTCGCTTTTAATCCCATACCTGGAAAACTTGTTGATTTATGGCCACTCACATCAAGTCTCAAGAGACTTTGAGAAGGTAATTTACATCTTGGAGTTTCTGGGGTGGATTATCAATTGAAGTCCTCCTTGATTCCAGCCCAGACCAAGGTGTTCCTAGGTTGTCGTGGTCTAGAAGCTTTTTACCCCAAGAAAAGGGTGAGAAAGTAGTGGGAGTGGTTTCCAGCTTGGTAGGATTACCAGAATGTTCCAGAAGGCACATGAGTCCTAGGGCTCATGACAGCCTGTATTCCGGCTTTAGAGTGGGCTCAATTAAATTTCAAGAAACTGCAGTTTTTTTTTTCTTCTCTCCTACTGGGACAGGAAGGGGGGAAGGCTTTCCTGAGTGTAAGGACTTCGCTGGGATGGTGGCTCAGGCTAGAGAATCTGATGGAAGGGCAACCTTTGGTGCAGCGGGATGCAGTCAGTGACCACTGATGCAAGCACTTGGGGCTGGGGCCCACCTAGAGGACCAGAAAGTCCAGGATTGTGGGAGCTGCACCTGAGGGAGACCTCCAATTACAGGGACCTTCTGGTTGTGGGTCAGGCCCTGAAGGCATTTGAGGATAGGATTCTGGAAAAAAAGAAGTCTAGGCTCTGTCAAGACCATGTCGACGGTAACTTACCTGAATAATCTGGGGCATCATATCCCAGAAGATCCTGGGCCTTACCCAGGAGATTCTGGGATGGACAGAGCAGGGTTCCTTCTATGTCAGTGGTCCACATAAAGGGGTCTGCCAACAGATGTAGATTTTCTCAGCTGGCAACTGATACGCCAAGGAGCATGGGAACTGAATGCCAAGGTCTTTCTGCAGCTAAGTCAGGTTTTTGTTTAGCCAGAAATAGACCTTTTTTGCTTGCAGGAGGAACAGAAAGGTGCGTTTTTTTTTTTTTTTTTTTTTTTTTTTTTTTTTTTTTTTTGTTTCCCCCCCCCCCCCCCCCCCCCCACCCGAGAGCAGTGGTCCGAGAGGGTGGACGCGCTGTCCCAAGATTGGGACTTCAATCTGGCGCATGCATTTCTTGATCCCATGGGTACTGCAGAAGTTAGGCTGGTCAGGCTACAGCCTGATCTTGGTTGCCCAGATGAGCCTTGTTTGTTACCTTGAAGAGGTGGTCAATGTGTTCCCCTGCAGCATCTCCCAGTTGGGCAGGATCCACTCTTGCAGGGGCCAGTCCTACACCCCAATCCAGGATTTTTTTTTTTTTTTTTTACCTGATGGCCTGGATCTTGAAAGAAAGATCTTAGAGGGTGTTCTGAGAGGGGGATTGAGATTCTCCTCCTTAGCAGGAAGCTTGTCACTAGAAAATGTATGCAAAGGTTTGGATAATGTTTTTCTAGTTTGGAAAGGGAGGTTCCATTTACCACGGTTCCCGTAGTCCTGGATTTCCTGCAAGCAGGGGGATGGCCTTGAACACTCTCAAAGTGCAAGGGTGGCCTTATTGGTTTTTCTTGACAGGAGGCTTGCTCTGGAACCCTTGGTTAAGAGGGTTTTGGTGGCCAGGGAAAGGGTGACCCCCATTAAGATACATAGGTTTTCACCCTGGGATTTTTAGTTTTGAAGTCTTTAGCCAAGCCACCTTTCTAGCCAGTGGCACATATTTCTGTTATATTTTTGTCATTTAGGTTGGCCTTCCTTTTTAGCCATCACAATGGCTAGGAGGATAAGGTGATCTACAGAGCCTGTTGATAAAGGAGCACTTCCTGTTAGTGTTGGAGGACAGGGCAGTCCCTAGGCAGGGCCCACTTTATTTGCCAAAGGTGTCCATGCATTTTCATAGATCACAAGAGATTGTTCTACCTTCATTCTGTGAGAACCCAAAGCATGAGAAGGAAGAAAAGTTTAATTTTTTTTTTTTTAGATGTCAGACGGTGTCTGCTGACATATTTGGATAGTGTAAGATTTCAGGAAGTCGAATCCTTTTTTGTTTTATTTTGCGGTCCAAGGAAGAGACAGCAGGTATCCAAACTGATGGTAGATCAGACTAGCCATTTAGCTTATGGGCAATCAGAAGTTTCAGTTCCCCTATAACTGAGGGCTCTACAGAATTGCTGGCGACCTCTTGGGCAGAGAAGGCTGGAACCTCGATGGAACAGATCTGCTGAGCAGTAACATGGACAAGATGGACACCTTGATGAGAAACTACGGAGTGGAGCTGTTGTCACCTCATAACCTGATGTTCAGCAGAGTATTGCAGGCAGTAGTCCCGCTCTTAGGAAGGCCTGAGCTGCTTGCTTCTTGTCTCAGATGTGCTGTCCTGGAAGATGACTGGAGAAAAATACCAGTTACACTTGCCAGAAACTGTTTCTAGATAATCTTCCAGGACGGCAGGCGTCTTCTCATCCGTATTGTTTGAACAATTTGGGCAAAATGCCCTTCGTGCACTAGGGTATGGTGATACTCTTGCATAACTGAAGAGTGAGGGGAAGGGTAGGGAATTTAAACTCTGCTTTTCTTGTTTCCTGTCAGGTGGTGCTAGTCGTCCTGCAAGATTTTCTAGGTTACCAGTAAGTGTAACTGGTGTTGTCAGGAATGGACTTGCCAATAGTGGTGGGACTCGCCTACCTTGTGGGTTGCAGTACCAGGGCTGGCCAGCGGGTGCTCTCAACAACCAGAGGTTCACTTCGGCAATTAGCCATCACCTGGGGCTGATTGCAGGTGTATTTAAGGGATGCAGTCTGTGCCTTGGTGTGTGTTTTTCCATGGGCCCCTGTATCTTGTAACCTGCGTTCCTGTTCCTGCCTCTGCCTGACTTGTTGCTGACCCTGCCTGATCCTGACCTCTGCTGACTTCTCCTGTTTTGACCCCTGGCTTGTGACCCTGACCATTCTCTCTGCCTGCTCCTCCTGTACCTACCTGCCCGATAGTTATTGACCTGGCCTGCCTGATTACGTTGTGCTCTATATGTGTATGTACCTGTGTATAGTTATCAGTTTTAGGTTTGGGTTTTTCACCTTGTTGTATGTATTTGTGTTAGCTTGGGGTTTGGTGCACTGCATTTGTTTGTATTGTTAGTCTTTAATTGTCTTATTTATACCATATCTGAAGCTTGTGTTTCCCTGTGTCAGTCCACACACTTCTGGTCACACCCGCATCCCTGACAGGTGTATTTTACTGAAAAAGTGCCCTGGAGATGATACATTAGGCTGGTGCGCCTTCTTTTGTTTGGTCTTCTACAAAAATGTGAACCATATTATGGAAAAAAATATTTTTTTTTTTTTTTATGCCAAGCTTTAGAAAAGTAAACTTTCTCAATTTACAGTTTATATCTACTTTTCTGGTACAATATTTTTTTAAAATAAAATTCAAAAGAAAATGTTGCAGTATACCCATGAAGGGGATATGAACTAGAGGCACATCTTGGAATAGTAGAAATAATAGATGTTCAAAGGAAAATGAACTGTCAAGTAATGACCCTCTGATGAGGCCTGGAGGTTAACACTGGAATATTGGTTGCCTGAGTTCTAAGACAAAGGGGATCAAAAGGGTTTTGGGGTGTGGGTTCACCAATCCATCATAAAAATGGGGTGAAACAAAATTCAAAGTAATAAAAAAGGGGAGGGAGAGAGAGCTACTTTAACAGCTAGTGCATGGATCACCTACATATTTGCAACACAAGTGTATATTAACAGGCTCCTCATGAGAGCCTGCAGAACCTGGCTGCAATGGACTATAGAAGATGTAAAACCCGCTTCTAGGTTGATGTAACGGACACTACTTAAAGTAACTTTCTATTCATTCATGCATCATTTTAAATGCAAACAGTGTAAGTACCTAAATTTGACTTTGTATCAGCCTCTTTCAATCCCAGTCTAGCAGAGCTCAGACTGGGGGGAGGAAAAAGCAGAACATAGAGCAGTTCTGTTGCAGTGCAAGTAGGATGCTGATAGGAGGAAATTGATGGAGATGGATCGAATTGGTCTGCTGCTTCTCCTTTTTCATTGTCAAGTCACAGGCTGGGAGCATGCTTGAGACCTTGGGGTTAATTGAACTGCAGAAGGGTTTCCTGTCCTGGTAGGTAAAGTGTATGTGTCATTTTCAGCTGTGTGTTTATCAGTTTTAACAGATTTAAGCTTTAAAATTAAATCAAGAACTGTTATCTATAGTCTGGATTTGCTCTTCCTTTCCTTTTTTTTTTTTTTTTTTTTTAATGGTGTATGAGTCACATGGATCTGTCAGTGTTGATAGTCTTCCTTTTTGCAGGATTACAGCCAGCTTCCCAAGGCTGACCTTTTTGCTCTTGGACTCACCATCACTGTAGCTGCTGGCGTGGGACCTCTTCCGTGCAATGATGACAGTTGGCATTACATCAGAAAAGGCAACTTACCAGATATTCCTCAGTCCATCTCGCCTGCCTTCTATGACCTGCTTAAGGTATAGAGCTTGAATAATGTTCACGTACGAGGCATCATCTTTGGCTGCTTACTAATCTAAGTTACTGCTTGTCACCGAGCTGCAGGGAATGCCTTGTGTGTTGCTGTTATGTTGCACCTATCCTCTTGAAGGATGTAAAGAGCGCCCTAGTATCCGCTAGTGGCACCAATGTAGTGTTACTGCAGGTCAAGTCACCAGCAGATATGAGCTGGTGATTTCATAATTTGGTGCAATGATTATGATGCAAAATTTTATCTTTGCATACTACGTTGTTGGAATTTAAAGGAAAAAACTTGGATTTCCAACAAGGCCGGATGATGGCATTCAGTGTTGACATGATCACATGACTTTGTTAAAACAATCAGTGACCTCTTCCACTGTTTAAGGTGCACTCAGAAAAGTACCTTGAGATAAGAAAAAAAAAAAAACAGAAACCCTTAGCCACTTACAGCCCATTGAGCCCTTAATTGGCTTAATTTTTGCCCTCCCTATTTAACTTTGCATTTCACAAATATTGAGCAAAAATTTAAGTATTTGACATTTCAATGAAGCGAAACAATCAGTTTCATTCATCCCTAGTTACTAGAATGGCAGTCCTCTGAAGTCTGACAGCTCAGTTTATTCTCACTTTATTGCTTTAACCTTCCTGATTGAGCTAAATGAACCCAACTTTAAAACTGTCTGCTTTAATGGGAGCCTGTCTGGATCAGAATATGGGAGGTGCAATTTCAAAAGTCAGCCGTGTCATGTCCTGATCCTGGCTTCACTTCTCAAGGAGTTGCTGATCTGAAATGAGCATTAGTCTGCCTAATACCCATACTCAATGTTAGTGACTTATTAGCTTGTAAGGACAAAGGATGATAGCCTGAAGATTACACCTTCAGAAAAGTCTGTAATGGTATACCAATATTTGAAACTCCTTTTTAAAATGCTATTTTTGTAATGGCAAGCTTGGAAGTTTTAGCTTGAATATCTAATTCTACCTTGCAGCAACTGATTCATCCAAATCCAGGGATGAGACCATCTGCTGCTGCCTTGGTGAAGCACTCTGTCCTAAGACGATCTCATGGGAAGGCAGCACAGCTCCAGAAACAGCTGAATGTAGAAAAATTTAAGACTGCCATGCTGGAGAGGTTGGTGGTCTTGGTTGACCTATTTTATAGTAAAATTTGGCTTCATATTTTGTAACCCTGTATCTAACTGCATTTTCGGTGAAAACTTGTTCCGGTTCTTGGCCGCCGATGTGAGTGGAAACTTTAATTTAGAAAAAGGACTTAATGTATGTTAAAGAAACTTTAAAAAAATGCACCTTTTTTTTGCTAATTTTTTTTCACTCCTGCATACTGTAGCTGCCTGCCTGTACATACCTACAAAACAGGCAGGCAATTTCAAACTGACAAGAGTTGAACTACCACGGCACTGAACAGAACTCAATGAATGATGCTGGTGTAGCCCCGCTAGCTGTTGCAACGTGGGATCAGGGGTGTGGGGGGGTCAATGTTACATTGTGAATATTGGTATAACATGTTGCATAACTTATCCTTTTTAAATATGTGAATTGGTTCTGCGCAATGGTATAGGACTGCTGCTAACACCTACCGCACTCTAATTATAGTGTAGAGTAAATGTAAACATAAGGGGGCAGAGCTGCTCATAAAATATGTGAAACTCCCCCACTGGGAGTTGATATTAAGTGCTCAGTGTGGTGAATCTAAATTTTCTGACATTGAAGATCCACTCCATACTACAAGACACCTTCCTATTCCCATGAATGTGTCAAAATAAATGAAATGTACTCCTGTGAGATACTGCATATCAACTCCCAGTGGGGGAGTTTCACTATTATATATTTTAGGAGCAGCACTACACCCTTTTGACATGTAGTTTTTTTTTTTTTTTTTTTTTTTGTGAATTCATTGCAGTGGAGGTGCAGACTGCACCCGGGTGACACCTTCCAGAGGGGTGACACTGGGCTTGCCATTTACGAGCCACCGCCATCATTCTCTGGGAGATGTCTGCAGGAGGCAGGACTGCCCAAGTTAACAGCAGGTGATTGGTTGGTAAGATGCAGGGTGGTACTAGCAACCAATGACAAGCTTGCAGCTCCTGCCCCCTGTCCAGACTCGCTGTATCCCGAGCCTTCCACACTGTGAGGCAAGACAGGATGAGGGGCGATGTTGGGAGAGCGGAGGACAGTAATGGGCTGCTGTGGGGGGGATCTGAGGACAGTAATGGGGGAGGGCTGTGGAGGGGAGCAGAGGATGGTAATAGGTTGCTGCGGGGGGGAAGCAGAGTATGGTAATGGGGTGCTGCGGGGGAAGAAGAGGATGTAGTAGTGGGGGGGGGGGGAGCAGAGGATGTTTGTGTGTGGGGGGGGGGGGGGGGGGGGGAAGCAGAGGATGTTTGTGTGTGTGTGTGGGGGGGGGGGAGCAGAGGATGATGTGTGGGGGGGGGGGGGGGGGAGAGCAGAGGAATGTAGTGGGGTCACTGAGGACATCAATGGGGGGGAGCCACGCCAATGTGCTAGCCTGCTTAGTGCCCCACTGCCTGCCTACTGGGGATGTGGGGGGGGGGGGGGGCGTCACAATGTTTTACTGCACCAGGTGACACCAACCCTAGTGATGCCACTGATCCATTGCACATTTTCTTACCTGAAGATGCAGCTGACAACGCCACTTCTGGTGTATGCTCCTTCCAGGCTGTTGGACTGCCCATCAGATCTATGGCATAGGCAGCCCAACAAACAATGGAACGCGCACAGGCTTTCACCACTGCTGCTAATTGTAATGTAATGTCAGTCAGTAACAGGAAGTGTGATTACTGCCAGCATCTCCAGGTAAAAAATAACAAATTTACAAACTCTGCTTAAATTGGCATCATGTCTCATTGATTTTCTTTCTTCAGGGAACTGAAAGCTGCAAAACTTGCTCAGAATTCCGGGAAGGATGAATGCACAGATCTACCCTCTCAATCAGATCTCTTCTGCGGGGCAGAAAGCGCCTGGTGGGGGGTAAAAATACTCGCTCTGTAAGCTTTACCTGTAGTGGGTATTAAGTAGCAATTTTCACCATGACTGCATCTTCTAGCTGCCAAAAAGCAAAGTCCACCATGCCTGCATCCTGGAGCTTGTAGTTCTTGTGACTGGAGGACCTCTGCTGTAAAAAAAAACTTTTTGGAATCCGAATTTGATATCTCAGTCCAAATATTTAAAGATGGCTACAGATAGCCCAGACCTCTTACACGCTTAAGTATGGTCTTAACAGCCTTTACTATCTGCCCTTTTCCTGTCAGTGTTTCTGGTCAGCTTATGTTTGTTGTTTTGTCCTGCATAAAAGTTGGCTTCTGGGCTACACATCACTTTAAGGATCTGGCCTTATTTTTTTTATGTAATATTTTACTCAACTGCACCTTTAAGTTGTATTATATGTTTTAAATAAAATTTTAAGTTTGAATGGTCTTGATCTTTCTATTAAAGATGTGTAAAGTAAAATCTTAAACGCTGCCCTTGAGCAGTTTTTTTATTTTTCTTACCACAATGTTGGGGCACTTTTTTCCTCCCATCAACACAGTGAGAAAAACCTCAAATTCCCCCCCCCACCCCCAACCAACAATTGGGCACTATTTCTCCCACCTAACGTCAAAGGTGGGGTATTGTCTGCACAAACTGGCCAAAGTCTGGCCACACAGTCTGAGGGACAGTAAACCAGCCCTTTGTTTAGAAAGATTGAAGACTCCTGTATATAGCTGAAGCTCCATACAGTTTATACAGCTCTCCAAGCAACTGTTAGTGAAATAAATGGTTTATTTAAACCATCTGGGGTCCAATCCCCATCCTGCTGCTGAAATACACAGTGCTAGAAACAGTGCTTGCTACATACAGTGCTCCCTACAATCATATGTTGGAGACGGTAATGGTTTTTGGACCAGTTCACATTAAGTTGATTCTAAAAGCTTAACTTCTTTATAACAAAGATGTCATTTACCTGCTCTGTGCAGTGGTTTTGCACAGAGCAGCCCCTATCCTCTTATTCTGGGGTTCCCTGCTGGCACTCCTGGCCCCTCCCTCCTATCGCTTGCCTCCACAGCAAGCAACATGTGCACTCCCCAGCTGCTGCTCCATGTCCATTCACACATGGAGCCATGACCTGGCCCCGTCCCCTCTTTTCTCATTGGCTCACTGGCTGATTGATGGCAATGGGAGCCAATTGCTGCCACTGCTGTCTCCGCCAATGAGTGAGCTCCAGGATAGCCAAGACTCCAGTGCACATTGCTGGATCAAGATGGGGGTTTAGATGAGTATGGGGGGGGGGGGGGGGGGTGATGCTGCACACAGGTTTTCTTACCTTCATACACAGGATGCATGAAGGTAAAAAAAAAGACCCTTTACAACCACTTTAAAGTAGATGTAAAAGAACTCGCCTTGCAAAACAATCCCTTCAGTTTAAAATGAAAGATGACATTCTAAATTATATCTATACATTTTGTGTATAGATCTAAAAATAAAATCACATTCCCTCTGTTCTCAGCTGCATATGAGCTGGGGAGGAGAAACACAGGACAGCAGGACACTGATCTTCCTAGTGAGTAACTGTGCAGGGAGGGGTATCAGGACAAGTCTGATCACTGGAGGGAGTGCACAGTTCCCAGCACACAGAACTGACCATGGTATTTTCTCACACTGTATAGTGTAACCCCTTTTTAATAGGAAATCGGAGGGACTGGCAGGAACACCAGGGATTTCACTCAAAGGAAGCAATACAATGAACAGGATACTTTTTCATGGAAATGGTACAGCAGGCACATATCAGGAATCTGAAATGTTAGGTTTAAATGCCATAGAAAATACATTTTAAAATATATTATACATGGAGACTGCTGTTATGGGTTTCTTCAACAGTTATTTGCTTGGCTTTCATAGATACCCTCTGTCCTGCTGATGCTGTGTCCAAGGCCCTGTCCTGGAATCACAGCAACTCAAAGGCAATATTTGTGGATGTTGTGGCTGTGATTGGGCAGTCCCTGCGTACTTAGCCTGTGTTTTCAGGCTTCATTCACACCTAGTGTTTCCTAAAAGCACAGGAAACAAGTGTTTTGCCACACTTTCAGAAATGCATGAAATGCACTGCAAATGGTGCCATAATTGTTAAAGGCACCCAAAAGATGTGTGAAAAATGTGCTTTGACAAAAAACGCAATGCTCCATGCCTGAAAAGGCACAGATGCTTTTTTGGTGCACTTAGGGCAGTCGATTCCAGTGAATGGGCTGCTGTATGTGCTACATGGGGGGACCAAGCAGGAAGACATGTGAAGTGTGAATAGTGCTTGGGTTTAAAAAAAAAAAAAAAAAAAAATTATGCAAGTGACATTATTTCTAATGGGATGTGGTCTTGTTCTGGTGCTGGCTGTCATGGTAGAAATTTTATTATTCTAAAGCCACGTTTTTTTTTTTTTGGGGGTTTTTTTTTTTACCTTACCCAAGTCCTGTATCGATACAGAACTGTGCCTTTCTCCAGCAACACTAGTTTTCCTTTCACACACACAGTAGCAGAAACCAATGGCTCCTGCTGCTGTCAATCAAATGTTTGGGGGAGGCAGGGCTGAGATGTGCTGTCTATAGACACGCACAGCCAAGCTCGTAAGGGAGCCTGCAAGTGTGCCTCCATAGTAAGAGGCTTCCTATGGGAACATACAGAAGAGGGTGAGCACTGTGGGGGATCCCAGAAGAAGTTTGGGGTAGCTCTGGAATACACTTGCAGAGCAGTTACGTATAACTTTTTTCTTTTTAATATAAATACATAATAGCCTTTACAACTGCTTTGTCCTCTTCCTACCCCTCCAATCCCTGCAATTATAATATTATGGCGCTGTGGGGGTGAAGCAGAGGGACCTGTGACAGGCTTTCATCAAATACTGACTATGCCCATCTTCTCCCACCTCCATTTTTATAGAAGCTCTACTATAGCTTCTAGCAATGCAAAGCATTCTCTGAAGGGAGGAGGCAGCCTTTCATTCATCTACCTGTCCTTCAGTCCTAAATTGCTCATTTTATAGAAGCTATAGTATGGGCTCTTGAATGGAGGAACGGTGGACAGTCAGCCCTCTTAATGTATGCTCGTGACAGGTTCAGTGCTAATATTAACCCCTGCAGCTACAGAAGAGGTTTACAACTGTGAGGTGGGCGTGGTGTGGAGGATAGTTGGGACCAGCACAAGAGACACTTAAGTAACCCAAGTATGTTTTTTTTTTTTTTTTTTTCGAGCCTGGGTAGCAGCCTGGGAGTGAGGCAGGAGTCCCCTCAGGACAGGCTGAGAGGCTTTACAGGTCATGACAATATCAAGAAAAAGAGCAGATACAAAGAAAGGGGGGGAGGGGGAATAACCACCTCTCTGGTGAAAAGAGTAAATAAGACTAAAGGTGCCTTAAAAAAAGAAGAAACTAAAATTTATAACTTTTATCAATCATTTAGAAAAAAAATCACATATAAAACATACAATCTGAGTGACCCAAACTTGATGATATTTTAGTCAATGTTACATATCGGTGCAGTAATTCTCAACATATTTCGCCTGATTAAGGCTTCTTCAACAGATATTGCATGTTGCACTTACAACAACAAAACTTGTTAAGTTACAGAATGTTAATAAATGTGTTTGACAAACATAAGTATATGAATTAAATTGAAAATGTGATCATACATATGCTATAATTTAAACAAATGTCTCAAAAATCATTGAAGGGCAACTTACCAGCTATTTCATGACTGGTTCAATGGGGCACTTGAATATGCAAAACAGCGTGTGGTTTAAAGAAACAAAAAGTTCTTATATCAGCCTTGACACAGAGACAGCTTGGATGGTGGATTGAGAAGTCCATATAGGCTCATTGTAAAGATATATAAGAATTGCATCAACTGCTACTCACAAAGTCCCCATATTAAGGCAATAACAATATACCTTTTAGAGATGGATGTATATCAAACAAATAGCTGCTCAGTGGGCACTAATCGCCGCCATATTTGTAGCATTGCATGCAAAAGCCAAAAATCTCAGTCCAAATGGAAATTGAAAACAAAACAAAAAATATAACTTAAGAAAAATAAAGGGGTGAAAACAAAGCACCCTAGCAATATTATGAATAATAATGAAAAAATGCCAAATTTACCTCAATTGTTCACTTAGAATTATGAAGGGGGAAGGTGGTAGTAATTAACCCTGGCCCCACAAGAGGCCAATCCTCAAAGGGAGAGCAAGGCTGAGAAGCAAAAATACCAAGGAAATTAATTTTAAAGATACTGGGAGACCTACAATACTTTATCATACAGCTGCCAACTCAAATTAGTGTTTATAGAGTCTCACCACAGCATGCACCACTCTCCCCATCTAACTACATTTAGTGTCAAACTGACTCATTTATATGGGCTTCTCCTGCTGCCTGACGTTAACAGTGTCATGATGGCGCCAGTGTAGAATGTCACTTCCGCCATCCATTTGCCACAGCGCCAACCAACATGGCTCAACGCCAAAGCATCGCACCACCAAAGACACCACAAAACAAACAGGTTGTCACCGCACAAAAAAAACACAGCAATAGAGCCACAAATAAATGGACCCAATGATTGGTTGTATATACTAAAACTCAGCGGTAAATTTGGATGCCAACTAGAGGATAAATAGCAAAGTGCAATGTTGATAAAAATTAGCAACAAGCTTGTGTGCGGAAAAGACAGTAAATATCCAACAAGTCATAAACCAACCCACAAAGAGTCACATATCCAGGCTGAGATCAATGTAACATCAGTAACTAAATGACATTAATATGGTAATAAAAAAATTAATTGAAAAATGCCCTTCAATAATAGAGACAATATTAACAGGATAAGTATACCTGATTTAAAGACAAAGAACATATAGAAACATTGATAAATGGCCATTATTGGGATCAGATCCAACA